AACAGAAGAACAAGTAAAAAAAAAAAAAAAAAGACTCAAAACTGGAAATAGCAATCGGCCCCGTGGCTGTCCAATTGTCCGCCGTAGGCGCAAAAGCACAAACCTGGACTAGGACAAGGGGCGCAATCAATGGATTCGTTACAGCCTGGCGTAAAAAGTGCGCCAACGGGATCGGTCATAGGGATCTAAGGATCGACGTGGATAACCGCATCGATCCGACCCAAGTCGGCTGGTTCGAACACGGCCATCTGATGTTAACTTGGAACGGAGCCGGCCTCATTTCTTGTTGGCTTCGGTGACACCAACGGCTACACCAACGACGATGGCGATGATGAGGACTGGAAACATGTCAGTTGCGTACAGAGCAATGATTTCGGTGACGGGAAGCTACTTACTGACGACCAGCAGGGCGTACCACTTCCACTTTCTTGCCCGGCGAGCGCTGGCAATGGCTTCCGTGATCTGCGTGTTGGCATTGGCGACGTTTCCAGCAACGTTCTCGGCGTCTTGGCTGATCTGCTCCACAGCAGGCTCCTGCATGTGGACCAGCTCCGCGACCTCCTGGTACAATCGGCCCAGCTCGATCATATCCTGCTCAATCTTGCGGATAGCGGCCGAACGCTCCAAGGCAGCCTGTCTGGCGTCGTTGGCCTGTCTAGTACGGCTACCAGTAACCTACAGCACCTATTAGCAAGTCACTCAAGGCAATCGCAGACCGGGCCCATCATACCTGGAAGCTCTGCTCCTGGCCCATCAGCACACTGTCCACACCCTGCTCGATCTCCTCGGGAGTCGCCTCGGGGTTCGCGATCTCATAACGTCTGCGAACCTGCTCTCTCAGACGCTTCTGGAAGTCGGACTGGCATCGCTGGTACTGTTCAATCTCGCGACGGAGGTTGCGGCTGGTGACGTCGACCTGCGTCTGGACACGGTTGTCTCCGGAGCCCGGAGTCTGCTTGATCTTTTTCAACAGATCACGGAGGTAGCGGAAGCCGTTGTTGATCTCGTCCTCGATGTAATCAAGAGTCTGGCGGGCGACCTGGTCCTCCTTTCCGGTGCTGGAGTCGAGCATGGCGTTCTGGGCAGCGGCCAGCTGGCCCTCGCGCTTGGCCTTCAGGTCCGCGATCCCATCGTTGATCTCCCTGCACTTGTTCAACAGCGTGGTGGCGTCGGCCGGCTGTTCCGCGATCGCATTCATTTCTGATGGGGCGGAGAGCTTGCGTTAGGAGACTGGTTGTTTCGCATGACGGGTCCGAGCTGCGGCGCGCTTACCGTAGGTGCCGTTACCCTGGCCCTGCTCGACGGCATTGGCCTGGTCATAGGGGTTCTGGTTGTAGCCCTGCTCGCCATAGGGGTTGTACTGGCCGTAGCCACCCTGATTACCTCCGTACTTTGTGGTTCACAGGTCAGCAATGAAAATCGAGGTGCGCATGAGCTCAGGAGTCAGGGGAGGGGTAGCAGCGGCGGTCGCGGGAGGTCGTGACCATGCTCTAAAAGGAGACATACACTCATTGTGATATGATGTCAAAGCTGTGACTAATTCGAGATGGAAGTTTCGTAGTGATAGCGTTACTAGGGGTTGTGTTGCGGAAGAGTCAAGTCGCAGGCTCGAAGGGTGTAATTCGCGAAGCGATTGGAGCTCGGGTCGTACGGGAAACGACGACGGTAGATAGGATAAGGTGAGTCCGTTCCGACAGGGAGGAGGGGTCGAGACGAAGGAGGGCGTGTAGGAGGGACGAAGGTGGGGTGAAGTGAGGAAGAGAGATCGAGGATGGAGGTTGGAAAAGGAATAGGCAGTAGTTTTTGAGTTGAGTTGAGTTGAGGTAAGAATTGAAGGGCAAAAAGAAAGAGTGACGGGTGAGACACACACGGCGGCGGCTGCTGAGCCACGGGCGCGGAGGCGGTTGAAGGAATGACTGCTGGTAAGGATTGGAGGGCTTGGAGGGCTTGGATGGAACTAGCTGGCTGGATGGCTCTGGCCCGCAGACGGCAATTCAATTCCTCTCAACAAAAACAGCTATAACAGAAATGAAAATGAAGGTATAGAAAAAAAGAACAGTTAAAGGAATGACTGGAGAGTTAGGTGGTTAGCAGAAAAAGGTTGTGTTACAAACAGCAGTTTCCTCCTCTTTTTCTTTAGGTCGGTCACAGACTCTCAGGTAAGTCAGGGGGTGAAATCTGCGCGCGCACAGCAATTTTTCGCCCAATGTATAATTAGTAGGAGGGGGGGGGGCTTCCAAGCTACTGCACAGACCAGTGGACGATCCTCGAGTCCCCTTTTTTGCTCTCCAAGAAGCAGGAGGGTAATCAAAACGACAATCTAAGTTGAGGACTGGTGAAACAAGGGACGGACTGAGCTGCGATGGGGCTAAACGGCGGGTTTGAAGTGCAACAACCGGTGAGGTCGATAGATCTGATCTATGGACTGATCGTTGTATACTCCGTAGTCCCGTAGTCCTCTGCGACATAAGTTTCTTTGCTCATCTGCAGATAGAGGTTTTACAATGCTGTACTTTGTCAACCCGTGCAGCTCCAATCCAGATGTGGATGTGCTGCACTCAATCTCCGGGCGCCAAAGTGGGAGATGAAGGCGCTCTCTCCAAGTCTCGCGACCAATCGAGCCCTTGAACCAATTACTGCAACAAACAGCCCTATGCTTGAGTAAAATGTCCCAGCAGTCCAGCATTGCGCAGTCTCTCTACACACTACACACAGCATACTCAAGGTTCCCCGTACAGCAGAAGAGGGGCAGGAACATTCTGCACGTCATTGACATGACACCCAACTCGATTCTGCTACTAGAAGAGCTTGAACGGTCCTCCCCACTCTTGGCTGGCCCGAACAGTCAATTGGAAACTACCGTATCAATTGATTGATTAACCCAGTTCCTCAACAGACTGTGACCAACCCTGGCAGACCGCTGCTCTGCGAAAACATTCCCACAGCCAACAGGTGTCTCGAAAGAGAATATGAAGTGAACCATCCTGTTAAGTTTCACCCATCCTCCCACACTGCAGCATTGTGTCGCTTGAACGAGATACGAGTCAAGCTCGCCTCAGAAACAGTTTCTTGCGTTATCTCCGCCACCATCAGTATGGGTACATTTCCACCAGGCAACGAGAACGTTGCAGGCAGCTCCACAATCCCCGGAGACCCTGGGCCTGTTGTGGCCACTACCACTGGCCTGGTTTGTCCGCACGTCAGAGATGGTCACCTATAATTAGCAACCGATTCCCAACGTGCAGCCAATCTCGTAGACTGGAGAACGAGTTCGCTATTGTGTGGTGGGCACTGCCCCGTTGTACTGGACACCACTGACAACTGGACACGCCAACGCCACACCTGATTCGAAGGGACTTCTCGGTGGCTTGGCAATCGTTGTGGCTAACTCGCTGTGTATACTATACCTATACAATAGTCTATCTGTCAACTGTCATCCTTTAAAGAAAGCACATTGACATCGGCAAGTATCTTCGTAAATCAAGCTTGGCCAACTGTGACTTGCGGTTCAGTAACAAGTCCCCTCTCTGCTCAAAAGGTATAGCAACCGGTGGGAAACAAATCCCACGGCCAGAGACATACTTGTTGGCCATATGACAATCTGTACCGAGATCTCCCTCATGGCAACAGAACCCAGGAAATACTACTACACTGCTTCCAACAGCACAATCCACACCATCATCTGTCCTTCCCGAGAAAAGGAGTTCAATATGCAGAGCCTGCAAGCATAGCCACCTTGCATCTCGAATCTATACATCTGCATGCAAGGATCCACCATATGCACGACGGGAAATGAGATCTCGAAGCTCTGGTTCTCACGAGAAAGCCACGCCACCAGGATTCCAGACTCGATCCGTTCAGTCGCCGAACTATGGCATCCCTGGGGGATAGACCCTGCAATGCTCGGAATCACTTTCGACTTCCCATCTCCCACATCGAGATTCACCCACTCATTCGTCTATAACCTCTGACTGAAATCGTGGCCGCTGCCAGCCAAACCCGGGGAAGTAGACATAAATGGAACGTGCGTTTTTAATGGACTCTAGGTCCCTTGCCTGGAGGCTGATCTTGTAGAATTGACTTCCACACGAGACTCATCGTGTCATTCACCAAGAAACCCATGTGAAGCGCACTTTATTCTTTCAGGCATCCTATGGAGCACGTGTCTCCAACAATCCCTGAACACGCAAACAAGCCGCCGGTAAGGATTTCAAGCCAACCTACAACATTCAAAAAGCTGCCCATACCTGCAAAAAGACCTATGGCCCCCCATTTGGACAATTGCATCCCACGCAACGAAACCTCGAATATAAGGCACAAAGCTCAAGCGCATAAGAACCATAACAAATGGCTCCGGTTGTCATCTGGACTCTTATATTAAATGATGGAAAGCGTAGTCCAAGCTCTCGAGGGGCCTGGGTTACCGGTGACTGCCTCCGGTCAGATCATTGCAGATGTCGTGTTTCTTCGAGGATTACTAGGTAGTTCTTGCACTGTACTGCATCGAGCAAGCAATATTCCAAGCAAGTACCTCTCCTCCAGGCACATCGACTAGCGAATATGCCCCCTTTGATCCGATGCCCGCTACAACGACTTAGACCTCGTAAGCACCAGACAATTCAGTATACAGCCCTACAATAGTTTCATCAAGTATGTACAACACAAACATCAATGTTCTGTGTATCTTCAACTTCAACCAGCTGTTTGTATGCATCGATTATACCCCGACAAACCAGCAGCCACCAATGACCCTTGCCCAGAACCCAGAACCTCAGAATTGACAGCGAAGCTCCCGCAACCAAGATACACCCGTGCTATTGACACTCCATCGATATCCTGGTAACTCCGAATAGGCCAGACAGGTACAGTACAAGCCAGACAACCAACAAGAAGTATAATTACCCCCAGTAAGCGAGGGTGGAGGTAAGAGTCCGTCCTAAAAAAGACTTTCCAGGCCGAGCACAGCAGCACGTTCCACTGACCTACAACCAAATACACCAGCTAGACTACATCTACCCACGACACTGCAAATGCACGCCATCTCCAAGCATGGAGATAGACCGAACTCAGCCAACAGCCGCCTCCGCGGTACAGTTGACTCATACTCATACTCATACTCATACTCATGCATGCACGAGGTCCCGCGAACCCACAAATCCCAGGTACGGTACCAGAGCAGTGCACCCACATCCTCATCCACATCCACATGGTTTGTTTTCGGAACATTAACATCCTCGTGGTGCGTGTCAACGGTAATCCACAAGCGAAAAGTCCGGACCAATCTAATCCAGTGCAATGCAATTCAAAGCCAGCAAAACCCAGAACCAGTCCATACTGTAGATACATAGTAAAATCCGGTAGACTAGACCAGACCACAGCTTCTAGTTTCCAGCTTCTAGAAACCCCCCCACCAACCAGAAGAACCAGAAGCAAAAGAACAAACGAACCATGGTTTCAATGATTCCAATCTCTAACGCCCAGCCAGCCTTGCAGTTTGCATCCAGCAGCTTCCTTCCACTCCGGCGGGGGTCGGATTTGCTTACTAGGCCGTCTACCATCTCAGTTTCCGCCCACCAGCGGAAAGAGCCACCAACAAGGGGAAAAAAAAAAAAAAAGAAAAAAAAAAAAGACCCGGAACACTTTACTCCAGCCCGGAGAATCCCGAAATTCTACCATCCAACCCACACAGCATTGGGAAATCTTCACCATCGCCTGCACTGGAAACAACACATAATCCCTACCCTATCCACCACCAATCTCCATTGTCAAGAACACAATCATTTCAATCAATCGATAGACGAATTTGAATCTCCATGGTAGGTCTAAGTCTTAGTCAACCTACCACAGCCAAGAGCAAGAGCACGAGCAAGAGCCGCATCACACTGCCGGGGCACATTCAAATCGTACTCGAGGAGTCTCCGCCGTAAATAAAACCATTACCTAACCATGAGCAATGCTTATTATGCAATAAGTGACCACCGCCAAGACCTCATCTCATGATAAGACATGGGCTCCACTTCACTTTGCATCTGCAATTCTGCATCCATCAGGTGGTGCAGTGTTGGGTTGGGCCGGCGGAGCCAGTCAGAGTTCACTGCTCACGCTTCCGAAAGCGGATAAGCGGGAAAACACCAAATGCCAAGAGATGCTAAGACAAACTACTGCAGGGACGGGGCCGGAATGGAAGCAACAGAATAAAAAAAAAAAAAGAGGGCCCCATCCGGATAGAGCGGCCACTGGGGTCATTCTGGTCGCACACTGACGCTATTGAGGCAAAACGGCACAAAAGAGAAGAGGACCGAACTGTTGGAGTATGTGAAATAAGAATTCTGTAGATGCTAACTAGAATCTATACTATGTAGTAAAATGTAATAAAAACGTCAATCCGTACACCCTGCATATATACACACATGGGGTCGTCATACTGCATCGGCTCATCAAAGGGCTGGGACGCGAGCCTGCGCGAGATGGTCAAGTATATCACGTTTCAAAAAATCAAAACGCCATCCACGAACATCGCAAAGCTAAACACGAGAATTATAATACATTAGAATGGGGAGTGGCGGGGATTCCGATCGGGAATCTAGTTGTGCTCATCCTTCTTCTGCTCCTGCTCGATGGGAGCAGGAATCTCCGGATCTTCCGCGTCCAGGGCGTTCATCTCGTCCTCCTGGTCGTTCAGGTGGTGGTAAACCATCCAGAAGATGATACCGGCAATGAAGGAGGCGCAGGCCAGACCGACGAACATCCACATGATGGCAGGGTCGAACGCGGCGGGGGTCAGAGCCTCGGCAATAGCGGAACCGAACGCGTTGGTAAGCAGGTACATGGACTGCACGAACGACTTCATGGACGGAGGCGCCTTGGTGTAGGCGTACTCCAGACCGGACACCGAGGCGAAAATCTCAGAAACACCGATGAAGACGTAGGCAGGAGTCTGAATCGCAATGTGGACGTGGTTGCCAGTGGCCGCACCATCAACGATGGAGGCATCACAGAGGGGCTTGCCATAGCAAGGTCCTGCAGAGTAGATCAAGTGCTGGACAATGGCCGCGTACATCATAGCCAGGGAGGCGATGACGAATCCGACGGAGATACGGGTGATGGGGCGGAACTGGATGCGCATGCGGCGAAGCAGAGGGTAAACCAGAGTCTCCAAGACCGGGATGAAGACAATGACAGAGATGGGATCGAAGTTCTGCATCAAGTCGTTGGGGATACCGTGGCTCTCCATCTCACCGGCCTGGGTGACGAAGTTGCTGGAGAACTGGCCGTAGACAACCCAGTAGACGGGGTAGAAGGCGAACACACGGCAGGCGACCAGGGCGCGTTTCAGCTCATCAATGAAGTGATCATCCCAGGGCAGGTTAGGGCGGTTGCCTCCATTGGTGGCTTGCCAGCTAGGCTTGGCTGCGTCCATGTTGCGGTTGACGATCATGATTCCCACAGCCTTGAAGGCATCCGTGATGATGGAACCCTGAGGAGGACGGACGACGTAGAACTTGCGACCAAAGATAAGGACACCAGTACCGACGGCAAACATGCACAAGCAGAGCAGGTAGCCAGACCAGAAGCCGATGTACTTCTCCATGTAAGGCGTGGCGATCAGGGACAGGGAACCGATGTTGATGCAGGCGTAGAAGATCATGTAAATGCGCTGGATGGTCAAGGCGGGATCGATAATGACCCGCTCACCCTTGGGGGTCGTCTTGATTGCCATCTTCTTCCGCTTGTATTGGTCGGCAATCAGAGGAGCAACGTTGCTCTTGATACCGCCGGTTCCCAGACCAATGATCAAGATGGAAACAATGAAGCCGCCAACACCCGCTCCATGGGAGAGAGCAGTGGGGATAGACGTGCAAACCAAGATAAGGAGACCGACCAGGTAGATGATACAGAAAACCACGATCGTCTTGTACTTGCCCAAGTATTGATCGGCAACAATAGCACCAAGGATGGGAGTAACTAGGGACCGAGGTCAGCAAGAGAAATGAGAACGGACTGAACCAGAATGACTGACCATAACACCAGAACTGGAAGAAAGTTGTCAGACCAGTGGCACCACGTTGGCCCATGCCAAGGGCACCACGACCTTGACTGCCATCGAGAGGGCGTTGAATATAGTTTTGGAACATGCCGGACATTCCGTAGTAGGTGAAACGCTCGCAAAGCTCGACAATGGCGACGAGCCAAGCAGAGACGGGCAGATGTTCGGCGACATGACGGAGGGTTCGGATCTCTTCCTGGTTGGGTTCCTCACCATCAGGAGTGACGTCGAGAGCCTTCTCCGTCATGTAGGCCTTCTCGTTCGAGGTGACCTCGGTGATAGTGCCATGGCCCTGTTGGAACGGCCTGGAGCATGAGATGTTAGTCTCGAGACGACAGGGCAATGCGTGATGACTCAGCAGACTCTGCACTACATGGCAGGCGCACAGAGACACGAGGCAAGAATAAGAAAGAAAAGGATCACATACTGAGCGATATCAGCCTCGCGATCTCCGGAAGACATGGTGGCAGAGACCAGGCAAGGGAATTGATCCGACAGGAACGGTCGAAGTAGGGAAGATTTCCTCAGAAAAGAACACAGGAAGATCAGTGTTGAGGGAAACGGCCCTCACCTTATATCTCCCTCGACGGTTCGACGATATAGGAACAGTAACCGAAGCGGACCCATCTTGTCCCCGAACCAATGGCCGCTAGATAGAGGAGGGACCCCATCGAAGGGTGGAAAGGAAGGCAAATGGCGACGGCCGAGGCAGGGGAGATGCCGATGTAACCCCAGGCTGAAAGCAAAATGTTGATATGACAAGCAGCACCAAGCATGACCTGAGACAAGTGGAAAAGATGTTGATTGGCTGGCTGAAGGGAGCAAAACCCGGCTGCAGTTTGGAACGCCAAGAAGGTCGGGCCCTGCCGGTGAGTGCGGAATGTTTTTTTCTTTCCTCCATCGAAACAAATTTCCACTTTTCCCTCGTGGCGAAAAACAGTTCCTCACGGTTTTTCCACCCCTCGCTTCCAGTCCTCCCCTCGCCCACTCGAGATCATTGCCTGTTTGAGCTCTGTCTTGCATATCACCCATTTTTTTTCATGGTTATGCGCCACCACCCCTGGCTGGCCTTTCGAGTTGGCAGAGAACCATAATGTCCGATGAACTGACTGACTGCATGGCCAGCTAGCTAGCCTAATCAGGTCCCGGAAATTCGTTTCGTACAGAAAAGTGATCCAATCTTTCGTGCCGTCGGTTGGACCACCGCAAGCGGAACATGTTAGGTAACATAAACACTTTTAGCTGTAGGCTAGCAGATAAGCATGGCGTGTCTTATTCGTGACTCAAACGGAGTTGGAAGGAAACTCCGCCGTGTTTCTCAAAGGGCGCAGAGGGCGCGCGCGCTGGCTGTGGCCACTGGCCACCTATCGTGCGTTGGAAATCTTGTTCCCCCGCCTGTCCATGCGAGGATCAGCACTCAGCATGATTGCAACGTCGGGCTTCCCCGCGTGTGGTGTGCGAGCAAATGAGTCAATAGCTTGTGATCTATCATCAGTGCATCACAAATCACATCAAGTCATTCGATAGGAGCAATGCAATCGCCCTTCCAAGATATCCCTTGTGTTTCTGTAACAAGCAATGCTTGTCTCGGCCCACGGCTGTGCTTATTTCTGCTGCCTTCTCTGCCTTTTCGTCTTCCTCAGGCCGTAATCGGAGAGTTCGCAATGCCATTGAACCCATTTTGCGTAGATTAGGCGATGTTCTCGAAGGGGCCGGCGAGTGGAACAGAGTTATCGTCTATGGGGGAGCCGACGGGGGAGCCGAGGCGTCGGCAAATCCCCAGCTTAGCTTTTCCTTAAGATATGGGGATGGAGTCGGAGAAACATTGCTCGTCTGATGAGTTCTGATCGGATCATTGCTGTACAGGGACTGGGCGTTGTTAACGACGATCGAAGGCTTCCTCATTGGGGTATGGTTCCATTCTGGTCGGCTCCAGCCGCCAGGGCAAAACCTGGAGAGAGACATCTGTCCATCGTAAGACACTTTTCTTCCTTGTCCTATTCGTCTGGTCCAGAGATATATGAGGTCAGTGAGGTGTCACGGATGCTCTGGGGTGGTGAGGGGAAGGAATGCTGTTTGGAAAGCGTGCCTTGAGAGCGTGCGTGGGGTGGGGTAGTTGTTTGTTGAGGTTAAGTACCTGTTCAAGGTCCGACTTCGCCCTCGGAAAGCCTTGAGCCACCAACTGGTTTGGTCATGGTCAACACACCCTCCTGGCCATGAATCTCACCGCTCGACTCATGACTCAAAACACTTGCTGACCTGGAGAGATAGCAGTTCATATATCAGAAGGCG